CTGATGATCTTAATTGACTATCAGATCTTCCAAGTATCTTGATTTTAGTCGTAATTGTCAGGTATGAGATGAGGTTCAATATGAAGAATGGTGTAGCATCACAGAAGAAACTGTCAGAGGCTGCTGTTGATTTTCCACGGATCAACGAGAACTACACTGGAAGGTCAGCTGTTACAAAATTTTCATTTTAATTCTGAAATTCCTGCACTGCATAAAATATCCAGAATGTGGATTAATTGCTGTTGAAATGCTTCATAGGAAGTTAGGAGTTATTCACAAGCATTGAGAGAATGCTTGCCTTAATTTTAGTGATTTGATCATCTCATTTTCATCCCTTATGCACCTTAATTTTAGTGATTTGATCATATTGTTTTCATTCCTTGTGTTATCGTGATGATGGTGACTTTTGCAAAATTTAGGAAGCAACGCTATGTATATGGAACCATTTTAAACAATGTTGCCCAGATCACAGGAGTTGTCAAATTTGATTTGCATGCCGAACCAGAAACTGGAAAAACAAAGCTTGAAGTAGGTGGAAATGTTCCTGGAATTTTTGACCTTGGACCTGGAAGATTTGGATCAGAGGCAATATTTGTTCCCCGTCAGCCTGGGACTGAATGTGAAGAGGATGACGGCTACTTAATATTGTTTGTACATGATGAGAACACTGGGTACTCCTCTACCACTCTCTTGCATTGCACATATACAATACACAATTACTATAACTTGGACCTATTCTCTGTGAGACCAAAAGATTTGACATTGACTATCTTTAAGTTGAATTTACTTTTTTAAAGCAAACCAAAGTGAGAAAGGGATGTAGATTTCATCTAACTGCTTTATGCTTCAAGCCTAGCACTAAGTAAAAGAGCATAATAATACAACTCACAATTATGATTTGAAGATTGTGGCATGACCAAAAAATATTTAAGGTGGTGCCCTGTTAGGCAACCTCCTGCTGAATGTTCTCCAAATTTTTCACAAGTTCATTATCAAAATGAAAGGTAGTTATCATTCGATCAGTCAAACATACTGCAATCTCAAACTAGTTAGGGTTAAGATTCATGTGTATAGGTCCACGTTTATTGCAGAAATGGTAAGTGGTTTGTCTTATAAGGCAATTATGGGATCTCTAAAATGAGATGGTCCTTTAAATCCCACATTCTTTCCTACTCACTTAATATAAGATTAGCAACACTAAGCCTCCTGACTAGTTTGTATCACTTATATGGGTCATTTACTTCCATTACTATTAGTACAAGTATCAAAAATTCTGTTTCTTGGCACTTTTTCGATTAGGCAACCTGTGAACAGTTGTTTTTATACAAGCTACCTTCCAAACTAAAAAAGGACTGATTCCAAAAGGCTGTAGGTCTTCTAAGTCAATTTCTCTCCATGACATTTTACATCCACCTCGTCCCTTTTAGTGTCTTCGAACACCATAATATCAGCGCCTACAAATTGGTGCACTTGGAGGTCTATATATGATAAGTCCAAACCATTCTACGCATGTGATTTGCACCCTTTTTAACCATTTGATAACTTTTAGTACTCTATATCTTAATATCAACATTTCTACAACACTTCCCTTGTAGATATATTGTTATTGGGCATTAGAGCCTCAACATTCACTTCATATTACTAAATTGTTAGTCTTGTAAGTGTTTAAAGGAATCTCCTTTCAGTTTGTTAGGTATCTTCTATAATGCCTAGCGCCCTCTTGTGCACATTCAGTTCAACCACCCCAATTTCATTCTACTGGATATATCTTCATCTAATATTTCATTCTCCCTGAAAACTGATTCTAGATGTCTCATTTGTCACCAATTATGTATCACAATCCCAACCGATCTCAGTTCACCTTTGTACTTCATATGGAGAGTAAACTTGTAAAATATGTATTTTTGTCTAACTCTACCCATCCTAAAACCCTAGTCTAGAATTTTTTGTCCAAAGTTGCAACTAAATCACTTAAAAATTGTCAATTAACATGATATCATCTACAGCTCCCATACCTTATCATGTTACTATTGGTAGTTCGTTCAAAACTTAGGGAAACAAGTAAAGGCAGCCTAAGGTAGATCCCTCGCATAAACTCCCAGTTATAGGATACTTCTTTGTAATCCTCTTGTCACACTTGTGACAGCTCCCTTATACATATCTTTTATCAACACGTACATTTGATATGGAATTTTTCCTTCTCAACACCCACAAAAGGACTTACTCTTGGTACTCTTATCATATTATCCATCTTCCTCTACATATTAATTTTCATCAGTTTTCTAAGAATAAAGTATAACCTCTACTGCATATCTACTTGCATAACTTAAAATGGTTCTCTATCATCCTTGAATTCCTTAAGATATATACTCAAAAAGGAGAATTCTTGGTCGAATAAAATCTCAGTCCTAGATAGGTGAATGACCAATGTAATGCCTTTCCTCTCAGGGGTATAATTGTGTTCATTATTTTGTGCTAGAAACTTGAAATATTGTCTGACCAATTCCATTCTCTGGTGTACATTATGCAGAAAGTCATCAGTGAATGTAATTGATGCGAAAACAATGTCAGCTGAACCTGTGGCAGTTGTTGAATTACCCAAAAGAGTTCCATTTGGATTCCATGCCTTCTTTGTCACAGAGGTGAGTTAAGCTAACATTCTTTGACATCATATCTAACGGTTCAGAGTGCGAAACTGAGAGGATTTAAACATGTGATCTCATTCAACTTTCTGTAAAGTTGCAATTTGCTGTTTCTCTCTTTAAACATTTTGGTTTAAACTTGGTCTCATTCTCGCAATTCATCGTCCTCTCGTACAGGAACAAATTCAGGAGCAAGCCAAAATGTGAGAGATACTTACGAAGAGTGGATCAGCAAGTGAGTCAACTAAAACATGCAACTCTGTTTTCAATTGGCACCATCAATATTATTCTGTGATATATATTGTAAAATTATATGTTCATAGTACCTGTTATGAGCTGGTGACTACAACATAGTAATAAATGTATGTTAAGTTTTCTGTATGTATCTGCACTCATTTTATATTATACAAATGATAATGGAACTGCTAAAGTTTCCTGACCATAAATATATTTTGCTTTTTTTTAAAAAAAATTCAAAATTAGCTTTTGGTTATATATCAGTACAATGATATAACCAATGCAATCTTGGGAGTGTATTTGCTGGAGGGTTGTTACCTATTGTATCATATTATGTTATCAATTTTAATATGATTTTTATTTTTATTTTATTTATTATATGATATCGTTGAATTCATTGCTATGTTAATGAAGAGAGTGATCATTTTAACAATCGACACGTTAACTTATTCTTTTTTCTGTTCATTTTATCATTGTTTATTATTTAAGAATTTTATTTTATTATTTATCATATCTTTTTATAATGTTTATATTCATAATTTTCTTTTTTGTTGTAAGTTTATCTTTCAAATTACTTTTGCATGACATTATATATCGATATAAATTTATTAAAATAATACAATACAATATAATTAATTATTTGATTGTATACACAATTATTGTATATTCACTTTGACATTACTATAAAAATCTATAAGTTTTATATTCTAAATCCGCCTTCATGATTAAATATCGTTGTATAAAATTGGGAGAAACAAGTAAATAAGATGGAAAAAACAAAAAGATCTTTGCACATATTGATGAAGAAACATCTCCTTGCAGGGACCTTGTCAAAGGCTACTTTCTTGTAAAGTAGCGATTACTTCCCCTTATTTACGTTTCCTATTCATATTTAACTTATATATCGATAGTTTGATATATAGGACAAATTTATATTATTAGTGTATCCGGTGTCAGCTATTTGCCTATTATATTATATTTACTCATATTTTTTTAACTCCTTATGCGCTCTATTTCTTCAGACTTTTGATAATTAGAGTAATATTAATAGCTGAAAAATGTTAAACAAAGTAAATTACACACATTTTTTTATTTCTTCGTAATTTTTATATCTAAGTAAGATATATCAAGTTATTAACTTTTTGAATCATATTCTATAAACTTATTACTTATAGAACTATATTTTCGATTCATATAATAATTTTCTCGATAAAATAATGTTTTCAATGTAGAATTGATAAAATCTTGCTTATAAAATAATATCTTAAAAAGTATTTTTAAAAAATCATTTATATAAAAGATATTAACTAATAATTTACATCTAAAATTTTTAAAAAATAAATAAATACAAATAATGTTTTAAAAATATTTAGGCCTTCATTTAAAATTTCGTTTTAGGCCTCGAATTGTGTTGAGCCGCTCCTGAGTATATTTTACATATTAAAATATGTAGCGCTTATTTTTCTTGTTTTATTATGTGATTCGTAGATTTTTTATACTTTGTATTACTAATAAATTTAATTTATTTTTCGTTAATAGTTACTTGTATATATTTCAAGTGATTATCTTATAATGTAGAAATCCTTTTACAATATCATGCATTGTATAGGTCGTTTTAATTAGCTGATACGTATTAAGTTAATAGATATTTTTTTGTGATGAAATAGAATAATTTAAATAGTTGATACGTATTAAATTAATAGATATTCTTTCGTGATGAAATAGAATAGTTTAAAGCAAAATTTGAATAGTGATTATTCGATAAATCGTTAACCCATTAAAATTATAGTAAATTATTATTATACATGTACATAATATTCAATATTAGAGCGTAATTGACATTATTGCTAAAAACAATTTATTTAAAGAAATATTTTTTCTAAAATGACTTTTTAGAGAAGTGCTTTTGAAAAAGAAAAAAAATTGTGTTTGGTTAATTTTTTTAAAACGTGTTTTATAAATAGATTGTGTTTGGATAATTATTTTTAAAAATTGTTTTTGACATTCAAATTATGAAAAAATAGATTTTAATAAGATAATATATTTACACTTAATCCCATTAATATTATAAATGAATAAATTTATAAAATTACAAATAATTTAATAAAATATGATTGTAGCGTTTTTTGTTAAAATTAAGCCCGCTAATGGAGAAGATGCCCCGCGAATACAAACAAACAAACAAGAGTACCGTGTCCATGGCATCTCCGTCAATGGTGAATGGTGGAATCTCCAATGTTCAATCAATTTAGTATATTCAAAGCGAGAGAGAAAAAGTTGGTTATCAAAAAAAAATGGGGAGAAAAGAAGATGATGGAGTAGAGAGAATTGAAGGAGGAGTAGTGGTGGTGAACCCAAAGCCACGGAGAGGAATAACTGCGAAAGCCATAGACTTGTTGGAATGGGGAATCGTCAAATTAATGCACGATTCCTCTAAGCCACTTCACTATCTTCAAGGCAATTTTGCACCTACCGATGAAACTCCTCCTCTTAATGACCTTGTTGTACAAGGTCATCTTCCGGTCAGTTCACTGCTTCTCTACTTTTTTCTGTGTCGATGAGATTGCTTCAGTATTATATGTTTTTTTTTTTTTATGTTTGAGCACCTCCACCAGTCACCTTCGTATTTGAGTAAGGAATGAGTATAGGGACACTACTGATGTTCAACTGACGACGGGGTTCAATTGGGGTAGGAGAAACGGGGAGGAAATTACAAGGTGAAAGTTTAGTTAGCCAATCAACAGAGCTACTAAAATTTTCTCAATCTTATTAAGTGAGAATTGATTCTTAGTTCTCTAGGTAAATAAGTCAACATTCAACTAAGTGAACCATAGGAGATTGGTTATTTATTTATTTATGTTATTGCGTAGAGTTTGATGTTTTGTGAACATTGGTTATATTTGCTGATATTGGGTGTGGCTTAAAACTCTTTGGTCAGAGGGTAGGGTGTTTAAAGAAGAAGGTTTTGGTTTTGCTTGTCTAGGCAGAGGCTACAACTTGATAATTGCAAACTTCATTTTGACAAATGGTACTAGGAAATAAGTATGGAGTAATAATTCAATGCTCATCTTGTTTCTATCATCACAATAAGAGAGGGGGAAATGAGGAAGTGAAAAAAAAGAGCCAAAAGCTTAGGAGTGTTAATCTGATACAAGATTAGGTTGCGGTTGATCAGCATGGTTGGGTGAAATTTAATTTCATCCTTCTGAGTTCTGATGAAAATGGTAATTCGTAATAAGATTTACCATTGGATTATGGTTTTGTTACTTCTGAATAGTAATCATTTCAATTTTTCAAGGGTATAAATTACTCCGGTGACAAGAAGTCATCCAATTAAATTCTTTTGGTTAAAGTATTGTTATTAAGAGTTTACAGTTTGCTTAGATTCACCTCATACAACTTTGCTGTAGTTCTATTCTATCAGTGGATTAGGAATTGTTGACTATCATATAATGTATGAGCTGTTTTGTTAATGGGAAAGAGAGGTGATCGATGTTAGATTGTGGAGCCTGATTAATATTTGATGTATTGTCATATATTAATGTTCACCCAAATTTTAGGTTGTACTGTTCATTCTCCATTTATTTTCTATAACTGTTCATACTCTGAATTATTAATATATACCTCACCGCCGTGGAAGTTTACCCACGGAATGTTACCACGAACTATTGGTTTCTCTCTCTAGATCTCTCATCTCTCTCTCGAAAGTTCTTGTTTTCTTCATTCATCAAGTGTGTGTGTGTGTGGATTCGATCCTAACAATCGATTCCACAAATCGGGGAGGCGGCTTCCTAGTTGTTTCTATTGATGTGAAGATTTCATTTTTATCATCCTTGGTGCAGGAAACATTTGTTTATATTGCTACAGTATTTCTACGGAATCTGCAAGATCTTCTGTCCAAAACTATAATACAGTGCTTAACTGGTTAAAGCCAACATGATAATGTTCAGAATACACTGCTTGGTGTATGCAACCTGTAGATGTGAATACATTTCGATTATTCAGGATGTGAGGGACTGTGTAGAAAATTACAGCAACAACTATGTTCACTCCCAAGCAAGTGGGACTGTGTAGAAGGTTCTGAGGGGCTTCAGTGCCACATAAATAAATATTTGTTCTTTTTCCTATGAGAGAACTATATGATGATTTATGAACTTCCCATATATGGAAAAAAATAGAAAGAAACGAGACTAGAATTTGAGATGGCACTTAATATTTTTTTGATAACCGTGAAATCCCTGAGGAGTAGTGGCGCACGGTTCGGAACTCGTGGATAATGCCCCCTACCCTTTTCTACTTAAAACCAAGATTTTCTTAGTGAGAGGGTTCAAATCTATGACATGTGCGCCTAACCCACATATATCAAACTGTGCTCGTATCACTAAACCAATTTCTTGGGGGCTTCAGATAACATATACTATTAACAATGTAACATATAGTTAACAGGGCAAGGGTAAGAACAGCTTGGGATAAATACCTTACTGAAGTTCAGTTAGTGATAAAATGTTTTTTCCCTTGGGCCTATACCTCACTGTTGGTTTGCATTTTTTGGAACTGATTTGTCAGCTGCAGGACTAGATTTATTTACCATTATTTTTCATTTAACCCAGGATTCAAAGCATAAGGAATATTGTAGAATTTACTTCTCAGGCTGTACATTCTATGCTTTTCGCCATCAACTCGACTCTAATGATGCTTAGTAATTTGAACATTTAATTACAGGAGTGCCTTAATGGTGAATTTGTTAGAGTTGGTCCAAATCCAAAGTTTGCTCCGGTTGCTGGATATCACTGGTTCGTTTTTATTCTGAATATATATTGTCCTCAGCACCTTCAAGTTCCTTCTCCCCATACTTTTTTTTAAAAACAGAGTTTCCCAATTGCATTGATGCTTATCCTTGCTCTGTTTATATGCAGGTTTGATGGGGATGGGTATGTCCTTTACAATCTTGACTTTGCAATTTGGAGCAAATTCAATTATTTCCTGGTTTCTTTGAAAAAGAAGCAACGAGCGCCTCAGTAACTCGTTTTTATTTGTTCCAACTTCCAACTATCTATGTTGTGCCCAGCTTAAACAAATAGATTTCTGTATATTATGTGACTAAGCTCCCTTTCTGGTAGGAACAGAAACTAAAGTCCCTCTCTGTTCGGAAGAGAAATTCTATTGGCATTTTGTTACATTGGAAAAATTGCCCTTGTACCCTATTCTTAATTGAACAACTAAAACGGGCATTATAGAGTCTCCATAAACAGACCTCACAATAGGATTGATACCATTTTTCCAACAAAAGAAAGATTGAGTATTTAGGATAGCAAGGGTGTGAATCTTTTGAATTTTATGGTGACAGTTACCTTTTTCTTTAATTTTTAGATGACTTATGCTGAAGCTCAAAAGGTATCACGTTTTTCTAACTTTCACATGAAAAGAAGTAATGTAACCTCAAAAATTTAGCCTTATTTCAGCATGATTCATGGCTTGCGCATTAAAGATGGAAAAGCAACGTATGTCTCACGTTATGTGAGGACTTCACGTCTAAAGCAAGAAGAGTTCTTTGGTGGAGCTAAGTTTATGAAGGTATGCATTTGTTTTATACTCTTACTCCTAGATTTTTGTTCCCATCAAGCTTAATGCAATAAAGATTGAAGTTTCTTGTACTAAAACTTCTACACATGTATAGATAGATGCTTTAAGCAACTTCTCCCCATAACTACGGACACTTTTCTTTTCTTCCTTTTTCTTTTTGTTTTTAATAGTTCGCCGGATTATGGATGCTTCAATTTGCATGCTATTCGGAGAGGGTGATTTTGTTTTATGTATTGTTGTATTTATTTTGTGGAACTAGGAATGATTTTTTTCGAATATGGTTCGTCCTTCGGATAAAACATCATTTTGAAAATATGCTCCAGGAATCACAGCAGTGTGCAATGCCGTTTCAGCTATTTTGTGTGCCTCAATTCTCTGTTCTTGCTAAGCTTGTGACATCATAATTATCTTGTCCACATTCCAACTCTTTAATTTTGATCTTTACATGTGATTTTCATTGCTGATTTCTCATCCAAACTGGATAGTGTAGAAAAGGGCGAATTTCTCAAAAATGACATCAAGATCATAGTGTAGAAAGAATGAAGAATTTCTGTTTTATTGGCACTTTGTTGATGGATACCGACTTTGTGATTCTACTGTGCAACAATGACTTTTTGATAGTTGATCATAGGTCAAATAAGTAACTTGTAGAGTAAATCATTCTACCGGAGAAATAATTATCTAGTGGAAAGGGTTGAAGCCTCTCACCTCTTGGATTTAGTGCTGAATATTTTGCTAAACTTTTTTTTTATGACAAGGGAAACCCGCAGCCGCTACCCTTTGGGTGCGCACAGGGTAAAACCCCCACTCCTATGCAATAGCTAGCAAACCATATAGGAGAGCTAACCCACACTAGGCAAGCCTGATGCGACGAGCTCGATCCAGAAGGCAAACCAAGGGGTTTCGAACTTGAGACCTCCAACATGGAAGTCCTAAGCCCAAACCACCGGGCCGCCCCGAAGGGTTATATTTTGCTAAAGTTGTCTGCTGAGGTTTCATGTGACACAAAGTTTCTTGTCTCCTAGCTAGGTCAGAATTTTCTGTTACTTATATTTTCATTTAAGGGATTGACTAGCCAGCCCTGCTCAGCAGTCTATACTCTTCTCTTGAACTCTTCATTAAGCATCCTTCCTAATCAGTCATCCATAATGTTGACCTAGCCCCCTCTCCTCTCTGTTTTTTCATGCGAAGATTCCCTTCCTTTCCTAGCCTATTCAATGTGGTCATGTACAGAGTTCAAAGATTTGACACTACAAAAAGGACGACGGTAACCCTAATTGAAGAATGTTGCAGGAAGCAATTGTGCGAAAACAGAAGTTCCCTTGAATTCAGCAAGCAAACTGGAGGAATATTCTTACATTGAAGATGTCCTATCTGAAAGAAAATTCTGTCCTTTTTCCTTTTAGTTTATGATAACTAGAAGCTAAAATGACACATCTGCTGCCATGCCGTTGTCATAGATCTCAGGATCAACATGTTATTTAGAGGAAAGGAATTGGGGTATCCTATTAGTGTTCATGACCTGGAATTGTTTCTCACCATTGGATTGTACATTATGATGTTAGTTTCCTTAAATTTTCTGTACTGAACCAATGGAACTACTGCATCATGCAATCACACGCTATGATTTATAAAACATTTGCTATGCTATATGTGCAGGTTGGAGATCTTAAAGGGCTGTTTGGTCTGTTCACAGTTTATATGCAAATGCTCAGAACAAAGCTGAAAGTATTGGACATCTCCTATGGAAATAGCACAGGTTTGGCTGGAATTTTAGTTAGTCTATGTATCTTCTCTTCCAAATATAAATTAATATGACGGAAGGAATATGTCCTTAGGCATAGCAACATATTTTAAGTTTATGTGATAGTTACTAACTGAAAGTAAGATTCATTTCCTTGTCCAGCTAATACAGCTCTAGTATATCACCATGGGAAGCTGTTGGCACTTTCAGAGGCTGATAAACCTTGTAAGCCACTTCTCTGTTTGACCTGTTAATTTAGAAAGATGAACTATCTATGATTTTGATGTGCAAGCCTTAGAGTAGATGTTATTCCCCCCTTCACCATTCCTTTTCCTTGTATCTTTGCATGATTATATATTGAAATTTTAACTTTGAAATTGCATGATTACAAAGTTTGGGATGTCAAGCTCAAATTGTAACTTTTTGTACATCAATGATCAACGGGTACTTCTAAAAAAAATTCTTAAGAAAAACATAGTGAAATTGTAATCTGAAGTTTTTGCTTGTCTGGTACAGAGAACAAGTATTAGTAGTTAATACAGTTTCCCGCAAGGATTTAGATCATAGGTACATTGCATTTTTATTGCTTTGATACTGTGTGTACGTCACACAGATGCACTTAAAGTTCTAGAGGATGGAGATCTTCAAACACTTGGCATGCTGGATTATGACAAACGATTGACGCATTCCTTCACTGCCCATCCAAAAGTTGATGCTGTAACTGGTAAGAGATAAATCATCCTAGTTCTGCATGTCAATATCTGTAAATTCAAATCGTTTGCTACCCAAATAATTTCTGATAAAAGAAGTAACATTACATGTATTCTTCTAATAATTTTAACTACAAGTACAATCCTGCAACTGCATAACTTCCTTTACTTAAGACATCTGTTCAGCCTTCTTTTCTCATTTGTTGACTTCTCTTCCTCCGATACCAATGCCTGGCATGCGAATCTGTTAGTTGTGATGTTGATTTTAATAAAAAGAAGGAAAATTATATTTTCTTCCAAACACAGTACTAATTTGTCACATCAATTCCACAACTGAATTCCATGGCAAGCTAATTTCTGAGTTGTGGTTAGGGTAATAAACCTAAGATGGGAGCATGGTTCCCTTTGGGTTGTAGTGCAGTTGGAAAGAGAACTTTTTTGTTTTTCACATAGAAAGTAAAAAGAACGAGAGGTGTTTTAGCAGCACCCTTTTTGACAACTGTAACAGTTTTGTGTATTAATCTTCAGCACTAAAGGCTGGGGTCCCAAATTTACATCATAGAGCTACATACAGTTGCCTGTACTTAACAAAACTAAACTAGATCCTACTTCATCATACAAAGGACCTAGGATATCTCTAACAGCTATAGGATTATCTACATACTCCAAACTGCACCAATAGCAAAAAGTGATTGTGCAGTTTATTTTAATCCTGTGTAAAGGACTACTAACACTCTCAAAGCATCTCATATTCCTCTCCTTCCATAGCAGCACCCTTTGTAAAGGTCAAGGCTGGTAAGTCCATCGGTTCATACAGTTGTCCATGTACGTTGGCACAAGATTAGGATCCTCACTTCAACTTCCATATCTGCATTAACTATCCAGTGAGTCAATCTATGAGTTCCTTATTGTGTAGGTAGAACACTCTTGAGTTTGACTTTGAAATTTTACATGCAGGTGAGATGTTTACCTTTGGATATGCTCACACCCCACCTTACATCACTTATAGGGTTATATCCAAGGATGGAATTATGCAGGACCCGGTCCCAATAACAATACCAGAGCCTATCATGATGCATGATTTTGCTATTACTGAAAATTATGCAATTATGATGGATCTTCCTTTGTGTTTTCGTCCGAAGGTACGAAACTTCTAATTTCTATAGTCACAATTTATTGATTGCTATTGTTTATCAGTTTTCCTTTATTGATGGGCATAACTTAAGCTTTTAAAAGATGGAACAACTTGCTCAACAATGGAATCAATGAGAGAGGTTAAGTTTCGTTACATCAGTCCACCTCCATATTGGAGTTCTATAGGAGAAGAACTGCAGAAAGGTTTCTAGTTTCTTGACTTCTGTTTTTTTTTTAAAAAAAAAGTCGCCGTAGGTAACTGTTTGTCCAAATATTTCATAATATAAATTCAAGATTGGTTGCGCATGTATTACACTCAGCAGTGTTTTTCTTATTTATTTATTATATTTCTTCTTTTTTGGGGGGTGGGGTGGGGTGGGGTGGGGGGGAGCTCATATGCATGTTCTTTACTTTTATGCAATGGATGGAAATAGCCCCAAAAGTCTGATGATAAAGGTTTTGGGGCTATTCCATCCATTGAATTAAGATTTTGGGTTGTATCATCAGATTCTTTCAGATGTGAAATATCTTATTTATGAATTTTCCATTCAGGAAATGGTGAAAAAGAATAAGCTAGCTTTTACCTTTGATGCTACTAAAAAAGCTCGATTTGGAGTCCTTCCACGATATGCCAACAATGAGGCTCTAATCAGGTGGTTCGAGCTTCCTAATTGCTTCATTTTTCACAATGGTAAGCAACTTTGTGGTCTGTCTTCCTTGAAAAGTTCAAAGATAGCTCTACTCTGAACAGAAAAGCTGGTAACTAGCCAATACATCTCACATGCATGTAGCACTTAATAGCGATGTTGCAGACTCTTCAAAGTCTCCGCGGCACCCATGTATACAGGACATGGATGTAGGTGTGGGATCCATAGTGGATATGGTGAGCTTACCGTGGGTACTTTGACTACATTCTATGACATAAGTATAGAGCAATTGGGTATTTAGTTTGATTCGAGTTTATGTCATATATATACCGTGAAAAAAAAAGAAGAGATTAAGATTTCTCTCAAATTATTGACAGAAAAATTCAATGTCTTGATAAGGAACTCGATGCTACACTCTGATTAATAAAGGGATAATGAAAGAAGAAGAAATGTATTGCAAAAGTTATCCAGAAGAAGAAACTGAGGATTAACCGATTGGTAGTAGGTTTGAATCATACTTGGGGAGATCTGATTGATTCTGAATTCTTTAATAATTTTCTTGAAAAGTTGTCGGAATAACTATCACAATATTGATGGGAAGAGACAGTAAAGCCAAAAAAAGTTGGTGATATATGATATGCTGGAACAGTCAATAAAAAGAGGGGTGGTGCCACAAAAAGGGTAAGTTCTGGCGTTAGGATGATCAGAAAGAGAAAAGATCAATAAAAAAACTTTAGCTGGGTGCGGCGTAAGGACGGCCAATAGTGAGCAAAAAGTATTTATGCTTCTACTAAGATTGTAGGGGATCGAGTGCCATTCAAGAAGCAAGGAGAGGGAAAACTTTGTTAGAATTGGTTTTAAGAACATAGAGAATAATGAAATTTTCTGCAAGTAATAGGATTCTTAACTAAAACGTAAGCAATGAAAATATTCTACTATCAAGAAAGAAAAATAGCTAAAAATATTCCACACAGTATCCATAATTGTTCTCTTCACTAACTCAATCATGAAGAATATTCTCCCAATATCTCGTGACTTTCTATTGTCTTCTATTTTCTATTTACTGGTGTTATCATTTTGATTATTTACCAGCCAATGCTTGGGAGGAGGGAGATGAAGTCGTGTTGATTACCTGCCGCCTTGTGAACCCAGACCTAGACATGGTCAATGGAGCTGTTAAAGAAAAGCTTGAGAATTTCTGCAATGAGCTGTTAGGAGACTCTGACAATGATTGTTTAAATTGAGCTTGTTTATATCTGCCACAGTTCTTGATCAGGATTTTGTTTTGACAGATATGAAATGAGATTTAACATGAAGAGTGGTGCAGCTTCACAGAAGAAATTATCGGAGTCTGCTGTTGATTTTCCAAGGATCAACGAGAACTACACAGGCAGGTCAGCTCTCCTATCTTTAAAATTATCCGGCAATTTCCAATCTACATGGCATAAGCATTGTCCAATTAAAATGCTGGGTGATGAACACCTTCATTTATTGTCTATCCATTTTGCTTCTAATTTTATTTATGAGTGCTAAGGTGTTATGTGTTAGATTTATGTTCCTCTTTGGTTTTCATTGCTTGATCTGGTGTACCAAGAGTTTTATCAATAGGCCTCTGTCTTATGTTGGTATGATAATAGTAACTCTGTTGAAATTTAGGAAGCAGCGTTATGTGTATGGAACCACTTTGAACAGCATTGCTAAGGTAACTGGAGTCATCAAATTTGATTTGCATGCTGAACCAGAGACTGGAAAATCACAGCTTGAAGTTGGAGGGAATGTTCAAGGTATCTTTGATCTAGGACCTGGCAGATTTGGTTCGGAGGCTGTATTTGTTCCCAGTCGGCCTGGTACAGAACGTGAAGAGGATGATGGCTACTTGATATTCTTCGTTCATGACGAGAACACCGGGTACCTTGTCTTCCACTCTCTTTCTTGCATTATCATGAGTAGTGTCACTAAAGACCATTCTGCATTGGTGGTCTTCCTAATGTTTAAGGAAATAAGGAGAACTTTTGTACTACTGTTTAACGTGAAAGAGCGGCAGAAAATCAGTTATGACCGCTTGATGTGTCCAACAGGTGAACCCACATAATTTTAAAGAGCAAACGTATTTTACCTCTAGAGTGCGTGTGTGTAGAATGTTTGCAACCAAAACATACTAAAGCTAATGCTTTTAAGGTCATATGATGCTCAATTGTCTGTGTGTGAGCATAGCTAGAAAAATGCATACAGGAGAAATGTGTTTCACTATAGAGTTATCTAATATTTTTTTGGACTTAATTTAGATATTATTAGAAGTGGCATATATCCCTATTTCCCTCGACTTTTCAATTATATTCTTATCTTAGTTTTTAGGTGCTTACAGAAATGCAAAGTTTGTAACTGACATATAAAAGAGGATCACCTTGACTGAACCCATTCCCTTTCGAAATTTATGCAGAAAGTCAGCTGTGAATGTAATTGATGCAAAAACAATGTCCGCGGAGCCTGTGGCAGTGGTTGAATTACCCAAAAGAGTTCCTTATGGGTTCCATGCTTTCTTTGTCACAGAGGTGAGATGCCAACCAAAAGCTATGGGTGTTTCAATTGAATTTCCACATGCTTTTCTCTAGGAAATTGCTTTCATTCTCTGAATTCATTATACTTTTAACAGGAACAAATTCAAGAACAAGCCAAACTGTGAGAGCAATAGCTACTGGCTATTTGGTTATTTAGTTACGCATAGCTTGAAACGTAATAAATGTCCTGTGGATTGTATAGTTTGTAACTTTCAGCATCTTCTTTCAGTTATATCAGAAACAAAATTAAATCTGTGAACCTTTGCTTTGTCAGGGAAAATGTATTGAGAGAGCAAACATGCAATGTATATCATATGTTCTTGCTCACTTGATATGTAATACAATCCCAGAAATATACATAAATTTTCTTTGTTAGGATGGCTAAGAATGTTCTAAGAAAATAGTAATAACTGCAAGTAAAATCAAAATTCTACATATTCCATATCTATAGAAACATGGCATGTACTAAAAGTTAAAGAACTCATTTAGTCAAGTGAATATCCCTCAGAATGCCTAGTATCCACAATGGTGAAATGCGATGGTTCCTCAACCTTTTTTTTAGTTCAAAGGGAGCACCAATCATCTAACATTTTCAGATTACTAAATGATTCATCACTGGGATAATTTTATGAATTCATAAATCATAATCCATTATTGTTTAAATTCACATCAAATTTCTATCTAAACGTAAAAAAATAATATAATTAAAATTACCTTAAATAAAACCAAATCGAAAGAAGAAGTTCAAAGATGGCGGCACATAGGGTAACGGCGACTGACGATAATCCCTACTATATATTGAATTAATTTTGTGTTGCAAGCCCTTATATTTTGGAGTATTTGTATTTTTCACCTATGCATTTTAAACACCTAGCCCAATCAGTCCACTATCTTTTCACATGTATGCACTTCTTTTCTATTTTGACTATTAACTAGCTTCTACTGAGAAAAATGTCAAAATTGTCCTCTGCTTAAAGAATATATATTATTATATTTAATCTTTTGTTATAATTCTTTTATTATATTTATCCTTATCTTTTATAGTTAAATATATCCCTTACGACAAATAAATTTGCATTTTTAGATATAATATTTTTGTTCGATATCAAACAACCTATTATTAGAGTACTAAATAAAAAAGAATTGAAGTGTTCAATTGATGAGAGGATTGCAGATCCTCATTGGAAAATCAAGCAAACAGCATAAAAACAACTTTTGAGATTGTCAATTTTACAAACTCATCCAACAAATAGCCACACACAATCAAGATGATGCAGTACTATGAAGTATCAGATTCCAAACTGCTTCTAGTCCTACATTCCAACATATATTTTTCCTTATTTACATACAGGGTGAGAGGAAATACGAATAAATGGCGAATTTGTAAGGTATCATACTCGCCATATGCTATTTTCTTCCTCATCGCCGCTCATATAGTACAAGTAACCAAGCCAAGAATGAATTGCCTGAGCATAGCCCCATGCCACCTTGCATGTATGTTCAGCATTGCCTGCATGAACGACGCAAGAGACGGAACCATGCTGGGCTGACCCCTCCACCATTGGAGAGTAGCTTCTTAATTGCTGGAAGCTGCCCCCTGAGAAGCCTGATTGACCAGCAGGCTCCAACTTCCATGACCGTAATGGCCATTCCCTTGCTCACTTCCACTGCTCGCGGAAAAATACACAGATGAACCATGGCCATTGCCAGTTGTGAAACTCTGGCTGTGTCCTTTGTGCATGTCTTGAACTGTAGATCCTTCCTTTCCCCCTTGATCAGAACTCCCGGAACCAGAAGAGTTGCCAGAGTGAGTTGCAATGGTTGCCCCATATTTTTGAGTCTCCGTTGGTGTACAGTCCATGTCATTGAGCTTTTTAGTATTCAGAAAGCGGCCTCCAGTTCCCCTTGCCCTTCTCATAGCATGCTGATGCCGAGATTCATGCAGATATGGCTAACAAATACAAACAAACCAATGTCAGTTTAATCAACACGTCTTATGAAAACAAGTGACGACATAGCTAGGCACTAAACGCCAAAATGCAGCAATCTACATACAGAATTGTTGATCTAATGTTCTGCTCAGTGTATATAAGATAGTTATCATACTTATAAAAGCAACCTTTTGCACAGCATCACAAGGACTTTCACATATATAAGCTATTTCTGCACTTAATAAGGGTAAAACCAAGTTGAGAATACATCTTAATACCTCCTCTCACAGTATATGAAAAAACTAAAAAGAATCATACTGTTCCTTCAATAGAGAAAATCTTGAGACTTTTGCCCACTGATTTAGAATTCAACAAAGCAAGATATAACAAATCAGATTATTGTTTGCTTATGTAAATTAACATAATTAGTACTGCACGAGTTTTGGTAATCTCTCTCATTTCGTCTCCCTTCCTTAGTTCCCTTGTAGAACATCAGTTGAATGAGATATTGTAAAATGTACAGAACAGAGCTCCCTCAACCACACAATAAATTACCAGGAAAACCGCTTCCCAACCAAAAAATAGCAATTACTGCAAATCTCAGACATCTCTTTGCATAGCTCAGCTGTTATTCATGTAAGGAAGAAATCCATTTACGTGTAGTTAAAGCACCTTTCCCATATGCATGAACTAAACCAATTCTTATGATGGCAAAAATTCGAGCACCATATTCGTCCGTTAAGGTTTATCATCAAATTTTCCTTATTATAAAGGCTAATATCATCAACAGGGAAAGCCCGACCTTGAAACCAACTGAGCTCTTCAAGTGGAACCAAAAGGCAGGATAACTTTAACACTATAAAGCTTTTCAACCTGCATTTCAATTCTATTAGGCCATACTTCTAAAGGTACGAGCAGAAAACAAAGAAGTTGAAGCTACAAACTATATGATATGAGTTGAAACTAATAGAGTTAGAAGCATTTCTATGCAGGAAAAACAAGGTGCTAATCTCTAACATAAATATTCATGATTTTTTGAAAAACCACAAACTAAAGCAGCATCTCATCATAAGTTCTAGAGCAGACAGTGCATTTACATATAACGTAAACAACCAGTTTCATCATAACTTGACTAGTTTTGCGCAACCGACCTTCTATCTGGGTTTTGAAGCAGCAATGTTAGCTTTAGACCAACAATCTCTTAAACTCCATGTGAATTTAGCGAAGAGTTTCAAACAAACAAACAAAAAGAAATACATACAGCGAAGAAACACAATGAAAACAAAAGATCTATATAGGTGACACCAACCGGCAACCAGTTGGTATTATGACAGGGTTGTACTGAGACACTTATATTAGGCCTACGTTCTGCAAGTAATCTTCTTACTTTGTCTACAGGTTTGTATTTTATGCCAGTAGAGAACCTCCAGTTTTAAGGGAAAAAACTTGATTTGTCTTGCAAGACAAATTATTAAGTACTGAAATGAAAAGGTCCAAATACAGTGAGATGGACACTAAAGATTCCAATAGAAAACCCTAACTATGTACAGTTGAGGTGAAGTAGTACTTTTTGCTATTGACGACCCATTTCAAGCTTCCTTTTCCTAATAGTGTCTCATCTTCTTAGCATTAGAATTTAGACAGCATTACCTTGTTAGCATCAACTGTTCAACTTATCATGGGACAATATTAGTTACTAAGTAAATTATGAAACAATATTGGGCATGTCTTCCGATTATAACTTCATATATTTACTATATACCAATAACCTGAAAATTCATGTGATATGAATATTATGTCCAAAATAAGATAATTCAGGTCTGCTCCTCATGGGGAAAAAAGGACTGGAGGGTGAAGTGCTTCCTTATACTGATTATACCTTTCTCGCTTTAATAGCTTTCCTCTCAAGCTCTGCTTTAGCTCTTATCTGTCTTCGCCTTAATATTCCATGGTACTGTTTTGCATTCACGTAGACAGGTTCCTCTTCCATGTCGAGAGGCAAAGGCATTCGGGCATGATGAATTTCAAATAAGTGGGGATGTACCTGACAACACACAGCATTTTTAGGTAATTTGTTTTTTTACCTATAATTTGCCTTCAGATATAGCTGAATTCAGATGTGAACTAATACAGAGCTAGAAGTACAGAAGCTAAAGGCATAAGTCTAGTAACATGTACAAATGCATACAACTCCACCAATCAATGAGGGTGAGACTGAAATGCAATTTACATATACAAATATAACATTGAGCTACAACCAAAACAAGCCAATTGAATATTGTAACCATTATATATAACAAGAAAACATGATTAGCAAATATTACATGGCAGCAGTCCATTACTAACATATTACCCTCACATCCAGGAAAACAAAGAACAAGGCACTATTTCTACTTGACAAAGACTCTGTTTCTTTTCACTAGTATAAATAACAAAGTGAGAGAACACAAACATAACACTAGCACTAACTATATACACAAACGAAAAAGCTCAGAATTGGAAGTTGATGGCATATAACTATCAGTATCTGCAAAACGACACTAGAGAGATTTGTTCTTACAGGTGCGCCATAAGTCATCATTCCCCCATACTGCATATCTGGATATGGATATGACGCCAACATCTGCAACAATGAATAAATCTTTCAAATGTAGTAGACAGACAATCATGGAAAGAATGGGAACCATCAATTTGACTTCAACTAATGACAACCAGCTAGATGTAATTGTGCACATCAATTATGGATAAAGAGGGAAGATGAAATGACTTACAGCTGAATGACCTGTGAGTTCCTTCTGCTGCTCAGCCATGATGGCAGCAGTTGTGGGTGCAAAATGCTTGAGGTGCTGCTTGTATTGCTCGTTATTTCCATCTGATCCTGAAAATATAAATCACATCACTAATAAAACGCCACACGCAAATCAAGGTTTGGAAAAAGTAAACATCGCTAGTACGTGGAGTCATAAGAGTATGGGCAAATAAATAAATCTTCAGATATTCAGTCGAAGGAATTCATAGAAGAGAAGTAAGACCTTTTTCTTATAGGGAGAAGAGAGGTGTGGATGGGCGTGTCAGGAGGGGATGGGGGATGCGTGAACTCCTCTTGGTGGTTATTGGTATCACTTCTTGTATTAATATTATTTTTTCTTTTTCCTTCTTTTGTTATTTGTTTTGTTCTTTCAAAATATCCAAGTCTGACCACATTAAAACTCATATTTTTCTTGTTGCCGCAATAGTTTATACAACCAAATCAAATGTGTAGATGTGGTAAACGCAATGATTGTACATGTTATTTGGCTGGGAAAAATTGAAAGATTTTTAGAAAGCTAGCATAGAAGAAGACTTCATATCCAGGAGTGTTCTGTTGTTATTTGATGCCTATTCTATTGTTGTGACGATCTAACACGGGAAATGACAAGTAGTTGAACCAATTGTGAATAATATGCAAGAAACTCGACTAATTGTTCCTTCATTCACAATCAAAATATATGGACTACAGCAAAATATAAGAATATATAACGAGGTGACAAGAGTTGCAGGAACACATTAAGTTCGACCAGTTCTAGCTCAAGCTGCAAGTAATCAGCTAAATTTGGTCTCATCACATACATTTGTTCTTCAACATCAAAATAAGGTGCATTTCAGTGAAAACTGAAAAGAAAACTTCATTTCTAGTTGAGTAACTAATGATTTCACCCTGTTTCAGGAATTATCATCAGAAGCCAGCAGTGTGATTGTTATATAAAATTGAATACAGGTGAAAACTAGGGGATGAAACATTCACGTTGTTGTATGTAATGTAGAAAATACCAGATTCCATGGCTAGAGCCTTTGTTTCTTTATCCTGGTTGCCACCTTCAGATTTCTCCTGGGCAACGGCATTCTCACTAGCCAAAGGCATAGTATTATCACCATAACCGTGCCACCATGGTTGCATTTGGGTAGTTGATAGTGAGGTAATTCGCAGCCCAGTCTCCAGCTGCCGACCATCATGTTTAGCAATAGTAGGCATTATTAGACTTGCCCCAAGTAATTATGATCTACTCAAAAATTTACAGTATAGACTGTTAGTAGGAACAGTTGATATTTCACAAAGTTGAATGATAGAAGCAATACAACTTGGACGGACATCAAAAATCATCTGTTGGTGTCATGCAGAGTTAAAGGCAAATATATCAAGCAACTACATGCTATTCATAACTTTGTAACTACTTTCAAGCACTTGTTTTTCCATAAATATTTTTACAACGTGAACCAAGTGTTGAAGCATTTGGCAATACTGGATATGATTTATCTCGAGACTAGTGCACTATCAAGTACAAGTATGCACAAATGCATGAAAAAGCGTCTCTAGGACTGCATCCCCAACAAACAAGTTTTGCCAATTTTTTCACCTTAAATCAGTACATTCTCCACAGCTTTTATATCCTGCTATAAACCCATAAAGGGAACTCGAAAGTATACAGAGCTGTGGTCTAATGACATGACAAGCAACAATTACTTCTTTTGTATCTAGACCATCACAAGAATCATTTTTTTCTTTTAATAAGATTTATTCCTAGGTAATAGCCCAAAATACAGCTTTCTCGTAAGGGACAGGGCTTCGCAGAACTAATAAAATGGAATTCCCCTTGTGTGATATCTGAATCCTCCTTGCTTTTTTTTAATAAGAGACTAGTTCCTTGAATAAGCGGCTTGGTAGACAAGCTATCTTCCACACTGTAAGTGAACAGTATCAACTAAGTGGAATCAAGATGACAAACTGCACAATCCCAGGGGAACCAGATACTGCAGATAAGGTATCAGAAAAGCTAAAAAAGCACATATCTGATCCACAAAAGAAAAGCTCATCTTTCACTTTTTTCTTTTGAGTCCAGAGTATTAGTGGTAGTTATCAGCTTCTAGGTTTCAATCATGTCATATACTGTATTTTCAAACTACGGTCCATTAACAGATTTTTGAGAGGTTAAGAAAGGATCTCATTACTTTACCTATTTACAATTATCACACCTAAACCTCAATTGTGCAAGCAAATGATAATACACAAGCAAAAAATGAATATATCTAACTCAGTGAAAATGAGACATCACCAACGCAATGCAGACTTACCACTTAAACCCAGGATCTCCAACACAAAACAAACATTTACATAATCCCTACAATTCATCAAATCAAATATTCCACCACTCACTGATTCAACCGTTACTAAGCATTACAATTCACCACTAAATTACCAAGAAAACAAACCCCAATAGTCAAATAAACACCAAGGATGCATAAGCCAACCATTTTGCTCCAAAACCAAATCAACAAATTCCATAAACCAGACTTCCCCGAATTAAACTTCTTCCACACAAAACTCAAACTTTTACACATCAAACCTTAAAAAGACAAAAACTTTATCAATACCAAGATTAGTCAGACAAAAAGATCCAATACTAAATAAAAGTAACCCAATTTAGAAACCCCAATTGGGTATTTCAAGAAAATTGAAAATTACAACAACACAAAATAGAAACTTGCCTTTCTTTTTCTGGGGATGACAGCAGTTAAAGAAAAACCCCTTTCAAGAAAAACTCACAAGTTTAGCTTGTGTCTATTACATACATATGCTTAAGCTAAAAAGGAAGTTCTTTTCACTAAAGATTCTCAAGATTATACATACATCTGTATCAACATATATATATATATAGAAGTAGATATCTAGGCCTAATTTATTTATTTATTTGTGTGTATCATAGAGAAAAAGTGGTGGGAGTGGGGAAGGTGAGGGATTTTTCACTGTGTTCTTCTTTGTGGGGTTTTTGTATTTGGAATTTTATGTATAGAGGTCACTCCCCCTGTCTCTGTTAAGGAAAACTTTTTTTTTAATTATATAGGATTAGCTTATTCTTCATCATTTAACATTTTAATTATGTTGTTGTCTGGTTAAATGACTAAAATGCCCTTCAGGATAACTGAAATACCTAACACCCATTTTTTGAGACTTGTGACTGATTATTTTTTGAAAAATAGAAAAAGGTTTAAGACTATAAAAGAATGTACTTTTAGTGGTTTAGCGGATAATCAGATATTTTGAGTTTAAGTCTTAAATATAAAAAAATTATGATAGAGAATGTTTTTTTCAAATGAAATTTTATGTGGTATATATTTAAAATAATTAAATTTTAACACAGATATTAAAATGAGAAACTAAAAAAGAACTAGGCTTAAAGGACCACTTACCAAACTTGAGGTTGAGGTAAAGTAACTCATACTTTTTCTCTCTTTGGTTGAAATGAAATGATAATTATGCTTTCTTTTTTGCTAGCTAAATTTGTAGAAGAATCCAACTCAAATCCTTTTTTTTTAGGGAAAAAAAGTAGGATCTTTATAGTAATTTTTGATATGGTTTTACTTTGTTATAACAAAATGTATGAAGTGAAATTCTTCGAATGTCGATTGAGATGGATAGAATTTATGCAGTTTGTATCATTATCAGGAAAAAAGTTTTTGATGGGTTGTTAATTGATGCACAAGTTATCATATAGATTTCAAAAAAAAAATAATGAATATATTTTTATTTAATTAATGATGAAAAATAAAATATACAAAACGAAACTCAATAATAAAAAAAATAATTTTTTTGCTAAATCATATATGAAATAATAGTGGAGATGGACACAATGAAAAGCTAAATTTTATAACTTTGTGATTCAATTTATGAAATTTAATGTTGAGGATTTTAATACAATTAGAATTCGTAATTTGATCTGGTTGGAAGAAAATAGTAAATTTTTATGTTTCAAAAAAAATTAGAGGCCACACATATGCAATAACTTCCCCTGAATATCTAATTCATACTCTAATTTCTCAAAAATGAAGGTTAGATTTGAAGAATTAATAAAGGTATTACTTATTCTTTTGTTTTTAATTTTAATGGTCAATCTTACAAAACTAGAGTTCACTGCCCTTCAAAGTTTGGGCAGGAACTACCTCTTATGGGTGTTGGATACTGAAATCCACCTTGATGCAATGGGTCTTGGAGACACCATAAAAGAAGAAAATAAGACATCAAATCAAAACTGTACACGAGCAATGATATTCTTGCGTCATCATCTTGACGACATTCTAAAAATCGAATATCTGACAGTTAAGGATCCACTTGTTTTGTGCAAAAACCTAAAAGAAAGATTTGACCACTTGAAGATTGTCATACATCCAAAAGCACGATATGATTGGATGCATCTAAGACTACAAGACTTTAAGTCTATACATGAGTACAATTCTGTCATGTTCAAAATTATTTGTATTATAGTGAATGTCTATCATATGATAAAGTATTCTTTAGTGATTCTTGATAAAGTTCAACCAAGTGTTGGGAGTACGACAATCATATGCATATTGACCTCTTCCAACACTTGGTTGAACTT